GAGGTCACCCACAGCCCCCGCCCTCTCACTCCCCCGCACACCCTGATTACCCCAGCCGGGGGCGGGACACACTGTAATGAGCATCGAAGAGGTGCTCAACTTCGACTCGTCGAGTTTTTCCATTCGAATTCAAGGAAATGGAAAGACGCAAGTTCCGCGAGACCTTTCATGGCGTTCGTTCTATGCTATAGTAGGATATTTAAGGTTGATACCTTAAGATTTGATAATCTGGAACAGTCGAACGGTAGATGGAAGTGATTTCTCTATCGTTAAGCGCTCGAGGACTTGGTATTGTCCACGTTACTATTAACGTACGTTTTAATGGCATTGGATTGAAGGTTAATGTAATTTCGATACTTTCTCAAGGTTATAAAATTGACCTCTTGTGTTTCCTGTACTATGAAAGAACGATTAATAGCCGATGCACGTGCGGCATAGGAAACGCAGCAACACGTAGGAAGGGCCAATCGCGAACGGGGTCGTCCTAAAGACAGATCGCTGGTAACGCGACCTCGATTCCCAAGCTACCCGCTGAGGAGGTCGCGGGGAACGTAAACGAAGGACGATGTAGAGGGAACAAGCTGAATACAAGAGTAGCTTGGTTGGCTGTCGGCGAAGACACCCGGATGATCGAGCGATGTTATTTTAAGTTTTCCGTGGGGGCTCTCCCATCTTGTCCTAATCGGCTGTCAGCCACCCCCGTGNNNNCCCCCGTGGCTGGGGTCGCAGGCCACCCCCAGGACACGACGTGCCGACGTCCATGTGTGACGTGACGCAGAAAAGGAAAGCGCTGGACGATGAAGAAGGAGGGTGATCGTAGACCCCCCGCGGACGAGATTCGTCCCTTTTGTACGACGAGATTCGCGCGGAGGAATCATACCCCTCGAGGGGTTGGATTCAAAACGTTTTACACTCTCATAACCAGGACCTGTTGATCCTGCCGCGTCGAAAATCGTCGCCACCCCTTGGCGCACTCGAAAAATGTTTTACCACGTGCTTCGTCATCGTACGATTGACTCGAGTCTCTTCTTCCACCCTAACTACGGGACCTAAACTCGAAACGACGTTTTAGTGGCTGATAAATTTCGCGTCGGCTCGCTCGGCTCTTTCCGAACGATCCCGTCTTCATGGTTGGTTAATGTCTTTTTACCCGGACATCATCGGGTTGAAGATTTCATAAACGTTTAATTGATCCTCGAGAGATGCAGAACGAGCATCACCGAGGCGATTACACATTTTAATAGGCGTTTACGAAAATTGCATATCAACGTAGCTGTTCCGCGATCAGCGAAATTTGTTACATTAGCATCGTCGACCCCTTCGTTTACGGTCTTCGAGATAAGACGCGAGTAAAACCCTATCGACCTATAAATATTCCAGTGGGCCCGCGTCGTTGAAACCGGAGGAATAAAGCGCATAATAAAAATTATAGCCGCGAGCCGCGATACCGGTGGAAGAAGTAGGAGGCTGCTGAAATTCCAGCAGAGTCCTCGAACTCGGAATAGACCGTGAAGATGAAGTCGCTCCAGGAAAGTTAGGATGACCTCGCAGGGTCCTGCGGCTCGTTTGATGGACCTCTCCCTTCTTTTTCTTTCTCTTTTTCTTCCTCTTCTTCGCTCCCTTGCCCCGCGTCCCGTAGCGACCATGCATTTCCACCGGATACCCGTTTACACCGAGTCGAGTTTGGTGGCACATATTATATACCTGCGGAAAGGAGGCAGAACGGGACGAAACCAAGGGAGGAAGCTGAAAAAGAAGAGGAGGAGGTGGTGGCGGTGGAAGAAGAAGAAGAAAAGAGAGACGGCTCTCTCGTCCGCAGCCATGCTTATTGCGTGATATTAGCCACGGTGGCTGCCGGGGTAATCATAATCTCGAAAGAGGGACAAAACACAGGCCCCGAATCGCATAACGCTGAATTTTACGACTTGTGGCATAGAGGACAGGCGACCGGATGCAACGCGACTTTTTACCTCCCTCTAACGTCGCCGGCTTGATGTCAACAAGAAGGTGGCGTACCTCAGGGAAACTAACACCCCGAACGAGCTTCGCTTTGAATCGAATCGAATCGGACAGCTTCAAATTTTCGAGGAACCTGCCACCCCGAACGATGAATTTTTGTCTACTTTTTATATCCTATTATCAAGGTGTCTTTCTTCGGTGCCAGACTTATCAAACGTTTGTCATTTTTCTAATTTCTTATTTTCCGTTCGACACTCTGATTTTAAGCGGTTCGATTCGAGCAATGCGACGATCGATTGTCACAGGCGGCAGCACGTAAAATAAATCGCCTGGCAGGTCGTACTTTCTATCAGAAACGGTCGTTCCAGGAATCCGATCTAATTTACGCGTTTGCATAAACCACGCCGCGGTTTCCAGGTAATAAAGAGAAAAAGGGAAACCAAGCTAGGAAGGTGGAAGGAGGCTGGAGGCGTTACATCGCGGGCGCGCGGTTTTCGCAACTCGCCGTACGAAACGGCAACACTCTCTGGTTCGGTCCGCTCAATGGAGACGTAATAGGAAGTAGCAATTTCTTTCCTCCACGGAAGGTTCTGCTTTAAAAGTGGTTCCGCGATAAATTTGGTTTTTCTGCTTTGAGAAACCTAAGTATATAGTAGACAGTGTCGCAAACTTCTAAAAGAGATTATGAGTCACTCACCGTAAGGCCGATCCGCAACCGGCTGCTCGCACGAGTCTGTAACATCAAAGCAAAATCAAAATCAGAGGAATCGTTCGATCGAAGGAATGTTTAAGGAACGTTTCGTTCGAGGTATGCGCCGTATTCTTCGCTATTAAACAACGTTCTATCACGAATGACTAAACAACGCGAAATTTCCAAAGAATAAACGCGGAGGAACCCAAAGCAGCTCTTATACCTGCATTCGCATTCTTGCCTCCGAGCTATCATTACGCAGTCATTCGTATCGTTTATTCACGACAATTTGAAAACGACCGTGATCCCCTCCGTTCGTGTAATAACTTCGCTATAATCGTCAGATGATCGAAACGACACTCGAGAGCACGATTGCGCTGGCGCTCGTTCACGACCACGGTCATTATCTTTTTCAATTTGCATACACGCGTTTGCCAGGATTGCTCGATTCTAAGCGAAGCATCGTTCGCACTAATAAAGGCCTTCGACTACACTCCTCTGTCTTCTCCGTTAAGTAATTTCGAACGGGATTGCTCGCAATTTGCGCTTTAACGATCGCGCGCCCAAGTATTACATCGATTACCACGTAATATCTTCATTCGACGCTTCGTGCGATGGAATTATAATCAAATTTTACCCGTTATTTGAATAGCAGGAATTTTCGATACAAGGTTCAGCTGTTTACTTAAACGGCCTTTTTTAGAATACAATGCGAAGATTACGATCAAGGATCCAGCGTTACATGGTTAATGCGTTTACAGTTTCAAAGGCTCGTGAAATATTCACGCGATTCGCGGAATCGGAGCGCACCGATTTAATTGCAAATCCGGAATCGTCGAAACGAATGTTACACGGCTGGAAAACCACGCAAAAGTTTTAACGACACGTGTCTACAGACGACAGATGCTAGGCCGACGAGATCGACCTAGCCTGAAGCTTGTAAATGTCTCACTCAAGGCGATCGCGAGGTTCTCATAGAAGCCGCTAGGTAGGTCATCGGATGTCATAAACGCTCGACGAAGTTCCTTTGGTGGTGCAGCGCGTGTTAATAGCCTCATTAGATGCCGCAGTGCGGTGACGTATGTATACGATCGATCGTAGATCACCCACCGAAATGCGTCAAATATTTCCTAGGGATAGCAACTACGAGAATTTCATTTCGTTTCATTCGAATATCAAACAAACGTATCACACTTTTACGTTTATTGCTGATAAAATTCTCAATTAAAAAATACGGCTCACAGCCGGAAATCTCAGATAAGAACGCTAAGGTTAAGATTAAATGTAAAAAGGACGTGTAGCGGTATATGCGTCTTAGGACGTTCCGATACGAAGATGCCTCACATAGTTGTTTTGCCACAGAGGTACATGTTGTGTACGACGTACATAATGTAACAAACAAAGTCTGGACAAAGCAATTTCGCTGCTACGTGCAACCTACGACCAGCGATAAGTTCAAACCTTTCGGTACCCTCCTCGAGTATAAATAGACGATCATGTTCTCCAGAAGTTAGCCAGTCGAGCGAAAAAATATAACGAATCAGTCTAACGAATCAGCATAACAATTAGTATCAGTACCGCAGTATCGCGCAATCTTATAAGGAATATTATCAAGCGAGCAACGCTTGCGATTAACTTTGTATTCTACATTTTACAATATCTGTAAATATAGTTAATCGAATTAAGTCGTCTCGTTATTATTTTAATCAACAACACGTCTCACCGTCCACCACAGAAGATTTTTAATAAGTCAAAGATTTGAGAATTTCTATTTTAAAGACACTCGATACTCGAAAATGTGAAATGCCAGGTTCCGAGGGTTTGACGATTTTTGTACACAGTTTAGTTGAATCTTGGGACTCTCGTAAAATATTATCTCGCAGCCAGTCATCCACGTAAGGGACGTATAATAATGGAGACGGACAGGGTCCTCCGGCTGGCAGCGCGATCGAAAGTACAGATTAGATTCAACGGGACAAAACATTCTGCATCTGGTATTCCGTCGAACCTGTCGTCGATGGCACAGGACGAGAGCGACTGTGAATACCATTCACTTGAATCATTTTCCTATAACATAACATTTCCTTAATAAGATTTACGGCTCCTTCCACTGATTATTTAATCACTTACGTTCATAAATCTATCGTAGCAAACATTCATTACCATTGTCTTCAGCTTGGAATAGTAATCATTTTTCTTTTAGCTATTTTCAAAGCAGTCTTCTGAAATAGGAAAACCGTGAGTTTTCGATTGATTGAAAAGTGAATATTATACCAGGCAAATAACATTTCTTGATCGTTTAAACTCCACTTCTATTTATTTTCAATAACTACGATGTACAGTTCCTTGGTATAGCGCTAACCAGGCTATATCCAGATATAACAAAATCAGGTTAAAAACGATTTTCCAAAAGAGAGGTTCATCGACCGTATGCGAAAGCAAAAAAAACGAGCACAATGTACTCGAAGACGGAGTTTCGTTTGGATGAGTAGTAATCGTTTGTCCGTTAGTAGCGGCGTCGTATTCTAATATTTCCCGCGAACCGCGGTGCGCCATCACGAATTCTAATTCATCGTGGCCGGTCGTCCTGGGCCCTGAAGGTGCCAACGGGGTCGCACGCGATAGTCGATAAATATTAAACGACTTTCCACCTGGTGTCGTGGCCGCGGCTTGCTTCGCCTCTTTCGACAGCGGCGGGGCAGGGAAGAGCGGGAGGAGGAGGGAAGAGGGACTTCCGAGAGGGAGATGACTGAATGTTAATTAGCGAGGCGTGACAAGTATTAAGCAATCCATCCATCTAGCCGCGTGCAAAGAGGGAGGAGCCTGGCCTAACGCTCGGTAATTAACGCGACACCACGCCGCATAAGCCACGCATCATCGAACCACCTTCATCCTCGTCCTCATCTTCGTGCTCTCATCGGGTTTCCTGGCAATTAGCCGTCGATTTAGCTGTTAACCCCGGCTGGAAAGTGAAACGGAATTCGAACGAGTGTGCCTGACCCACGACACGCGTCCCCGGAAGTCGTCTGGCTTCGCTTTCGCGGGACGTAACTGTATTTTCGAGCGATCCATCACCTGGCGTCGCTGCGTTTGAAAACGTTCCAACGAGACCAACGATTCCTCTTACTTTCCATTCAACTTTGTTTCGAAGGCTTCGGTCGAGAATATATATTTATACATATAGCATACATGCGAATATTCATTGCGATAACCGGTGAGATTATCGCATCCTCGAAATAATCCTGTCAAAACTAGTATCGCGTCTTCTGACACCCGATTAGCGTAACAAACACAATGACAGCGGGGTAACTCGTAACGATGGATGATGTACGATACTCTCGATTCAATATACCACTCCTCTTCGTTTTTTTTTTTTTTTCGCCTTCCTCCTTGCTCGTTCTCGAAAGAGTAACTACGAAAAGAGAAAGAGAAAGTTGAAGAGAAAAGAGACGCCGCTTGATACGTGTCAAAAGTTAGATTCAAATCCTGTCGGGCTTGGAGAATGCCGGACGACGGGCGGTCGTGGCGGCGAATACGCGGCGAGCACGGCGATCTTCTCTCTCGAATAGATGTATCAGTGTAATTAACAACAAACAATGGCCGTGGGACGCGCGCGCTCGATATCGTATATTAATCGATTAGCCAGCACCGTCCGGGCCCCGGAGATATGCGCCGGTACCGGTTGTTAATCATCGGAGCGCGGGTGCGTTTGTACTTCGAGCTTTCTTTTTCAACCGTGAGAGAAAGAAGAAGAAGAAGAAGAAGAAGAAGAAGAAGAAGAAGAAGAAGAAGAAGAGGACAAAGAAGACGAAGAAGATGAAAGATGAAGAACAAGAAAGAGGTGGAGGAAAAAGGAAGGAACGATCGAAACCGCCGTGTACGATTCGCCTTAAGGATCTTCAAGTCAGGACTAACCATCTTTGTGACGCGTCGCTTCGCCGCGCGTATCAGGGCCACCGTGACTACAGAACTTGCAAGCCAAGTCGTACAGTCGCTGTCCTAACCGATCGCGTTTCGATTCATTTTTTGCCTGCGAATTCTACGCTTTGTTGCCGACTGGCACGCTCGTAAAGTCTCCACTTTTTTCCACACAGATAGATACGCTGTGTTTGTCTATGAGAGATCATAGTTGCAATTTCAATGCGCTCCGAGCGAAGGGAAATTCAACGACCTATGCGATCCTACGTAATCCAACGTGTACTGTTTCGATAAATTATTCGCGGGCATGTCGACGGTTGAATCGTTTATTAGAGCGCATTGTTGGGAACGGTTCGATCGTAAGAACGAAAGACTACGAGGAAGAAAGTAACAGGTCGTAGTAAGTGGAACGTTATTTGGAGCAGAGATCGGAAGTTTATCGATGAATCGACGGTATGCGTTTGAGTAATAACCATTCTATCAATCCGTTTACCGGGTGTTTGTATTCCTGAAAGAGCCACGGGTCTGTCGGTGTTCGATTTCGTGCCCCTCAGCGGTACCGGCAACATTCGAATCATTAGGGATTATCGATGACCGTCAATACGAAACAGCCCGTGAACCGTCATCAATTAGAGTCGAATAATAGTTCGCGTTGTTCATTCGTTAGTCGGAGAACCCGCTTCCGGGTTCCATCTACTGTTCTATCCGCCTTGATTCATTATCAAAACGAAATGACACGTCGTGGAGAATCGTGAAAAAAAGAACAAAAAAAAAAAAGAAGGAAAAAGAAAGAAAAAAGGAGAAACCTATTCAGTTTCGTAATTTTATAGAGAACAATCTTCAATGATCGTCGCTGTTCCGACGCCACGTCTAATTCTACGGTAACCGTAATTACCACTCTCACGAAATCACGCGAACCACACGTGTGTACAATATCAGATCACTCATTCATCAGGCAGGAATACCAAATCACTCCCAACGTGTGCAAACAAAAGATTCTGCTCTAACTATTCGCGGATTAGTTCACCGTAATACACACGTACCATTTTGTAACGAGGTACGCAGACAGAGGCGAAGGAAGATTTACACGATCCTCGTAAAAGCTACACTGTTTCGCGAAGTTT